AAAAACAAGAAAGTGACAGAACAGAAAGGAAAATAAAGTAAGACAGTACTGATCAACAAAATCCCAAGGAGAAACCTAGCATGTACACAGATAACTCATACCCCATCCCTAACAGATAGATGGCTCTTGACGTAGCTCCTTCATAATTGCCACCAAGCTTTCTTTAAGCTACTCTCAAATGCAAAACCTGAAATCAATGAAACAGATATATTAGAGATGATGATTCACTGTCCTAAAAGATCTGCCTAGGCATCTTTATAAATCTGACTTCTGGTTCATTTAAATATGTATCACTGATAAGTAACCTAGTACAAAACGGAAGGCTCCAGTGAGCCTGAGCTAGGGCCTGCATGAAGCGGCTCTTAATAAACATTCTTGTGTGTGGAATGAATGTACGTAGGAGCAAAAATCACATATATTATCATATACAAGTAGATCGTGTCCCAGAAGAGCCCTTGTTACGTCAGTTGTTTAGAACTGAGAGTGCATTTCTCCAAAGAAACTGTGCTGTAAATTAAGGTTAAAATCCCTGGCCGATCCAATGGTTTATGGAAGTCATGAGCATATCTAGATTTTACTACTGATACCAGCTTAAATTATAAGTACACAGTGTGCAGGAAGAGAGAGAGAAATGAAAAAAGAACATTTTCCCTCCCTGAGGATCATCATTAGCCAAGAAAAAGGTCTGGAGATGGCAGTTGGCCTCTGTCATCCTCCACAACTTTCTTTCTATGTCCTTGTTTCCTCTTTCCTCAGTAACCAAAAAGCCTTGTTCTCTCATTTTGTTCCAATTCTCCAACTATGGCAGGCCATCCAAATGAACCCTGCCCCCCAACATCCCATGCACCAAATAAATGGCTCCTTTTATTCTTTCAGCCCAAATCTCCTTTTCTTCACGGATATTCACCTTAGTCAAGTGGAGGGAAAGCTAACCTGATTAATTCACACTAACATAGAAAAGACTCCTATCCGCCTAGATGGCTTGGCTTTACCAGATGTTTCTAATTAAGAAGGATTTTAGACAGTTTAGCAGGATGAGGTTTAAGCATTCAGCCTCTTGGGAGTAGGATAAATTTATGAATTATATACTGACAGAGCAGTGGAGCTCAGAGAGCAACTATTCTAATGTACTAGGTCTTTATAAATTGCTCATTTGTGAGCTGTGAAGAGAAAAAAATGCAAAAGGGACTTGTCCTCAGACTGAGCAAAAGGAGGAAAGTCCACACGCTTTATTTCAAGACTTGCCTGATCTCCCCCTTATCAAGTAAATTTCTTAGGAACTTCTATTCTCTCCTTCAGTAGAGAAAGAAAATTAGTTGATTTGGTTTTGAGAGTAAAGTCAAGCTCTAATCTAAGTTAGGAAAGGTTCCAGTGAGGACTGCCTCTGTAATTTGGCAAAGATGGTCCCACGCAGAGAATGTGAGCCCTCATGCATCAGGAATGGAGGTGGGCATTATGCCTGGAGACTTATCCTGACACCTCAGAGAGCAGACCCACCTAGGGACTATGGGCCTGGATGTCAGTTTGTAATGAAAATTGGATTTATTCCATGAAACATCTGAAAATTGCCATTCAGAGTTAACCTAACATAGTGTAAATTGATTATAATTTTTATTTAGATGACTGAATTCAACGGATGACAGAGTGACAATCTTCCTTTGAATTTTACTTAATTGTTTTTAGAAGCAATGACCTTAATAATTCTGTTCAATTATAATGGTTTAACTACTGCTATCAGAAACATTTCAGCCAGTGTTGAGCGCCTACTATGCCCATGGCATGATGCCAAGGACCACAGATTTCCAGAGAAATAACACTTACATAAAACCAATAAAAATATGTTTGCATTTGCTTTGACAGTTTTAGTAATAACTTCAATTAGGATTACGACTTTATAATCCAAAGGCTTCTCCCTCCTAGAATTTAATAAGAATAAGAAATAAAATTCAGTGATATATAATCCTTCTACATATTAACTTTTACTTGGCTTCTTTTATTACATATGTTTCATAAAATGCATCATGAGACAGTCACTCTGTAACAAAAAATGGACAGGTAAATGGATAAAAGTTCTCAGCAGAGATGAAACAATAAATTGTATTTTAAAGTGTTCTTTAAAAAATTGAAAGTTAAAAATATTTGTACTACTGCAGCACTGGGGGAGGGGTTGTTAATAGCAAGCATAGAAAACTTCTATTTGGGTGAGGAAAGAAAGATACAACCAGATGGAACTGAAGGAATTCAGGATGAGCCTGTATGCCGGAGAAAACCATTGCAGTGCTCAAAAGTATTTCTTGAAATCCCCTCCTCAACTATTTATACGTGCTTGGTAACCCAGTTACAACTGATGTATCACTGTTGCTCAGCTACCACAGAAGACAGTCACTCGCTGTTTGGATCTGAAACCTAGTAGATTAGTCTTAGGTCACCAGTCTTTCCTAATTTTGCATCCATAAATACAAAACATTTAGTCTGCTTTTTTAAAGCTTATACACATGCATGAAAAACCAGAAGTTTACGTGTCTAGGTTGCTTTCTCACTGCTTGTATAACTAAAAAAAAAAAAAGGCTTTTATTTAAAAATAGAACTTGGCAAATGAACAGTCCATAACATGGACCAAGTTCATTTGGAATGCTTCAATAAAAATAAACGGCCAAGATATTTAACTCTGAAAAGAATCAACTGAACAGGGACACTATCCTTTCTGACTTTATATTTTGCCACCTTTGAAAAAGGCATGTTTTTTTTCAGAAGACTCAGAATTTTATAGGCATATGACCTTGTTTTTACTAGATAACATAAAAAATGTACAAGAAAAAAGTATTTTTAAATAACAGATTATCAACTGCCAATTATTCTACTTTAAAAGTAATTTCATATTTTTCCAAAAATCTTTCTTGTTTTTGTCTATGCACATTTGTATTGTCATAACTGTTTCCACAATTCTGAACTGTTTTTCACTTAGCATTACACTATAAATACTTCTTATGTTTTTTCATAGTATCAGTATTCTAAATAAAAATACTGACTTTATGATATCTCAATCTGGTTTGGGATTAGAATAACAATTACATTTTAAAAACTGAGATATTTCTCATAGTCTTATGTTACAGAAAATATATAAAACTTGGGAATCGATTATTTCTTCAAAATTTGAAAAAAACCCCAAGGCATCTATCAAGTCATGTGTTTTGAGAACTGGATTTGCTAAAAATCTTAATTTCTTCCTGAGTTATTAGTCATTTAAAACCTTTCTTATTTATGAATTTATAATTTAATTTGTGTAAATAATACCAACTGATTTCATACACATTTACATACAGTATATTGTCAAACATTTATGCATAGTATTTCGTTATAATTTATAAACATCTTTTCTGTTTAATAACTATGTGTTGATTGCTCTATCTCCTTTGTCATTTCCAACTTTAATTTGCATAAATTTTTGCTTATTTATTTTATTATTCCTTTTGATTAGTTAACTTTTGATATACTCATCTATTTTTCACCTTCCTGTTTTACCTTTTTTGTTTTACTTTTATTATATTTTTAATGATCTGTATTTGAATGACTTGATTTCTTTTTCTTTCTCCGAAAATAAACATTCATAATTCTCTTAACTGCTTCCAAGTTCTGCTCTGGTCACATTAGTTAGCTATTAATATGTAGTTTCTTCATTTTCATTATTGGCTAGATTGTCTTTTACTTTTCCCTAGACTCAATTATTACTTACAAGATTATTTTTATATTTTTGAAGATTTGAAGGTTGTTTTTGTTGTTGGAATTAAGGATGCAAACAAAATATGAGGTTCATTTAAATCTTTAAAAATGTATTGATTTTTTTTCTCTGAATCCTTGTAAATCATTTCTCTTGTATACATTTGTAGACATTTGAAAATCATATTTCTGGCTAAATGATCTGAAGGGCATATTAAGTAGACCAAATTTAGATTTCTTAATGAAGTCCTTTTGTTCACCTATCAAGCTCCCTGATAGTAAGAGGATAGATGTAGTAACATTTGTGTAGAATTTATCACAGGTCATAGCATACCATGATGATGCAACAAATAATTGGTGGGAGTACATAAAAAAAAAAAAAACCAGCAGTAATAGTAACCTAGTACTAGTGACATTCTTCCTATCTCCTGTGCAGGCCAGCTGCACTCTTGAGCTGAGAAGAGTAGCTACAAAGTGTGGCTGGTCTGGATTTTCTTATTGGTGACATAATGTGGCTGGACTAGATGCTTTCTCAAACTATTTCCAGCTCTAACATTATAAATCTCGTTTGTTGGCATTTTCAGGTTCCAGACTCTCCCTACCCCAGGTGAAGGTCTTGCATATTCCCTGTTCCAAAGCAACCTGCTGAAACACATTCATAGAGCAATTTTCTCTGGGAACTGAAGACAAGATAGAAAATTTTACCAAACCTTCTACTCCATCGGAAAGTTTTGGACAGGTAGAAATCAATTTATTATTTCTGGAATGAAAGTAAAGTTTTCAAAGCTGTTTATCAGCCCTACCTGTACCTTCCAGGAATGAAAGCAAAATTTCCAAAGCAACTGAAGCCAAACCTATACTTTTACTTCATAAAAGCTTGGCACCCATGTTAATATATGTTCACTTCCTAATTACTATTAGCAATCAAAGCGTTTTAGAAAAGATGTGATACAAAGTATTTTCATGGCTAACAATAAGTTATTCACAAAGGTTAATATATACCTCCTCTAAACACTGTTATCATTAAAATTAGAATTGTCATTAAGAATGAACAATCTGATCTTTATTATTAAAATGGAAAATTTCTCAGTGTTTGATAAGCCCATCATCTACTAACAAACTTATCAACTGGCAATTAAAAACAAAATGAAGGCTTTAAAACGGAATTGTGGGCAATACATAATCTGATAAAATTATACCTGTCAAAATAAACCCTTCTAATGCAGTTTAAATTCTGCTTTATCAAGACATCACAGTAATTACTACAAAAAGCACAGGCTTACCTGTGCGGTAGACAAAGTTGCCTTCAGTTTCCGATGACGACGGAGACACCAACTCTTCCTCAAATTCATTGGAGCTAAAAGATCCCGAGTGGTTTCTTTGCCTTGTTTTTCCCATCATGGCAGTGTTTGTGGCCATGACGTGTCTCAAAGAGTCGTTAAGGTAACGGTTCAACAAGCTGCTCTTGTATTTTGGGGGTGACACGTAGTCCTCACTGGCCCGTGACTCAGGCCTTACTCCAGCTTTTATGACAGAGCTCTCACCTTTAATCACAGGATGGTGGACTGGAGTATTATATCCCCCTTCATTCATGTGGTTTCTTGGAGGATTTTCTCCATCTAAGGGGAAAAAATATCACTAAGTAGTACTTATACATGCTTTCCCCCAACCACCCAATATTTAATCACTAAAACATATAAAGGAAGAATATTTAAAATACATAAAATCAACCTTGATATTTAAGAATTTTAGACAAAAGAAAGCAGAAATATATGTAATCTCTCATTTATGGCATTTTAATTTTAATGAATTTCACAAAAAAATGTTATTCTGACATACAATAAATCTATAAATAAGAGGAAACACCCATAGCCCAGCTGGTCATTTATGGTATTGTAAAAATGAAAGTACCTCATGCAAAAAAAAAAAAAGACCCATTTTTGTGGGACCAATCTTAAAAATAGTAACTGAGGTGAACTTATTACAGAGGCAAAGCAAATAAAACAAAACAAAAATAATAACAAACCTTCGGAGCATGAATCATCACTGCTTACACTAAGCCGCTCAGCATTTCCTTGAACATACTTGTTGTATAACTTTATTCTTAAAGCCCAGCTTAAATCTGGCTGTCGAACAGTATTCTTAAGCCGACGTCTTGCATTAGCAAACCAATTTGACACCTAAAACAGTATTAGTTTTCAATTAACAAAACATAAAAAATATTACCCATCATGCAATGACTTTTGCCACATAAAGACTCTAAGCCCCTCTCGGTGCCTCGGATCGTTAAATCAGGACATAAGAGTACTGGGCATTCATATCTATTCAACAAACATGCTGAGTACTGGATATTCATATCCATTCAACAAACATGCTGCGCTCATACTACAGAGACTGAGCACTTTGTATATTCTGGGAATAAGAAAATGAAGAAGCCCTGCCATCAAAAGATTTGAGTAAGAGAAAAGTCTAGTAAGAGAGAATACAAATAATCAATATAAAAAATAATCTGATGAATGGCATACCAGACATCAAACTAAAATGAGACAAGCGTCCAAAGGAAAGAAGGGTTACTTATGTGATTCAAGACTTCATGAGGACTATACGCTAGGCTTTGAAAAAAGGCCAGTATAGGTCAGGTAAAGAGGGTAGGGAACTGTATTCCCAAAAAAGAGGACAAGGGAGCAAATATGTCCCAGAGACATTGTTGGGGTGAGGAAGAGGGAATAATTAAAGATGACCTTGAGTCATCAAATCTGTAACCAAGAGAAGGGTAGCACCATTTTGGGAAAGTATAACTTTTTGAAGATGAAAAAGACATTGCCTGTTTTGGGCAATGTCTGGTTTGAAGTGCTAGAAAAGTATGGTGAGATGTCTAGCAAGAAAATAAAAGTTACTTGAGACTTAAGAGGGGAAGATCAAACTCAAGAGTCACATGCACAGAGGTGATAGTTGAAGTTGTGAGCTGGGAGGGCCAAGGACTAAGCTTTGGAAACTGCCAGTAATTAAAGAAGTAGGACCATAAACAAGAAGCTTGCAAAACAATCAGGGATAGAGTGATCACAGAAGAGGGAAGAACAAAAGTAAAATAATACGTTGCTTAAAGACAAAGTCAAATGTTTCTTAGGCAACTAGGTGAAGGTGAAGAAAGGAGCATTCCAAAACAAGAAAAGTTACTTCCTCTTTTTTTTTTTTTTTAAGGTGCTACTGGATTTCTAGAGGTTAAAGGATATTTGAGGTTTCTTCTAAAATACCAAGCTATCATCAGTATATAGATTTAAAGAAAACAAGGGGGGGCAATATTTGTCTTTCAAAGAATGAAACATGGGAAGAGAATTAAGTCTTTCTGCCAAATTGGTCCTGAACATGACCCCACATTTCTATAGTAGTTTGTGTGGCAATGTTTGCACTGTGCACTGGAATTTTTAAAAAAGATTTATCCTCTAAATAAACCTTTTTTTCACGTTGCTCAAGCTCCAATTATTGGATGAAACTGTGGTAAATTCTACTTTTAAAATTACATTTTTCCTCCCTGACCCCATGGGTAACACGTGGTGCATTTTCCATAAAAATTCAATATTCAGTGTATTCAATATTATCTCCTTGGTGTCTTGAGCAATAATAATTATCCTTTCAAATTTATGCACAATGATTATTATCTCACTGCGGCATTTCAGAAGTCTCAGTCTTCATCAATCCTTCTTCCTGTCAAGCTGTGCTATCATTACTATGATTCAGTCTGAATTCAAATTCTGTCTTTTCATCCTCCACAGACAACTTCTGGGACTATTAATTCAACAAATATCTATCAACAGCTACTGTACTTTAGCCATGGTGTTGCATGCTGGGAATGGGTAAGTGTGGTCCCCTGCACTCCCAGAAGAACCAGCAGTGAAGCATAAGACATGATTAACTGGGATACACCGGTGAACATTCACTGTGGAAGCAAAAAACACTGATCCCTTTCTTCACATTTCTCAAACCTCCCTCTGATTCTGCAACTCACTGTCCAATTTTTATCCAACTATATTTGTCCAACCATTATTACTAACTAGGAATTTTAGAACATTTTTCTAACTTCCCCCTCTTCCATTCTCTTAAATTCCATTCTCTTAACCATTATCATCAAATTCAAGTGTCAAAGCACCCTTTTTATTTAATCACTTAACTTCAAATCTGCATAAATGTCCTGTTATCCTATAACTGTGGTATATTGAAAAGAGACTTGGTTTCCTGTTCTGAATTTGCTAAAAAACATACTGTGTGAATTTAGACAAGTCATTTAACTTCGCTGAACTTCAAATCTTTCATCTATAAAATGTATTTGATGGTTTCTAACATCCTTGCCAACTCTAAAACTAAGATCTGTAAATACAGTCCAAGTCCCTCCACCAAGGTATTAATTCCCTTGATAGTCAGCACTAACTACCCTTCTTGTGATCAGAACTCTGTCCAATGATCAGATATATGCTTACCACTTTCTTTGCTTCTCTAATTCAGAGGACAGTCTGAAACTTCCCCTGTATCACTCGTAGTTATTATAATTGAACTCCAAATTTTTTGTTACTTTATTTATTAAATGGCATATATTGCAGACTAACCTTAAATCTCAACTAGCCTTAAACCTGAGCCCAACTGCCATATAGTACAGTAAAATATCCACTTCTTATGAACTCTTATATAATAAAAATGCAATGGTCTTCTAATTTAAAAAATTAAAACACTATTATCCTAATAGATAAAATTGGGAATCCTTAAATGTCATGGTGGATTAGCTAGCTTTTCATGTATAGGAGTCACATATTTTTTATAGACTCATAGTTCCTACCCTATTATAATAATTATACAATAAGAGATTTATACAATAGGAGTTTTTCCAGAAAAGTTTGCTGATGTCTAATACAGGCTGTTTCAAAACTGATTTCATAATTTGCCACCAAATCTGCTAATATATTTACTCTACTGGTATTTTATTAGCAGAAATTTACAGTATAACCTAATGGCTGAACATAGTCTGAGGTATTTAATATCTACTTGGCAGTAAGCCCTGCAAACTGCAGATAAATAGTCAGTTAACAAATTTCTATAAATTTTTTTGCAATTTTTTCTTGATGAATTATTGCAAATTCCATCTGTTTCACTGAAGGTAAAAATACCAGTTCAAATTTTCTACCTTTCATCTTCTATGGATTCCTTCAGGATATCATTCATATTCTGTTTAAGTTGTATTTTATATGAAACAGACCTCCTTACCAAGGGCAGGTTCTGGAACAGCACTTTAATGTCAAACTCAATGCTTTATTATATATATATATATATATCCCCCCCATATTTTATGTGAAAGCTTAGAGAACCAAACATCTAGAAGTTGGAAGAGAAAACTAAATAATTCTCGCCCTCCTCTGATGGAGGTGTTTACATTCATCATATTGACATAGCAATCGTTACAGTAAACCCAAAGGGATAAAGTGGCATCTGTCCTCCTTTGAACATTTGAAATACTGCATTAACAAACTTATACTGAGTTATTCAACCAAAATATTGAGTACTTCATTTCCACACCACATAGCACAACACTTGGAATAATGTATAAGGACCAATCTGAGATTTTGTTGAATATAACAGTTGCTATAAGTTTTGTAGTGGATAAAGGCATATATATCCCAGCAGATGCACTCAATACCAAGCAAAAATAGAGTTACATCAACACAGGAGACGGAATCTTACAATAGAACAGTTTTAACAAATGGTGCAAGGATGTATCACAGGAATTTGGAACTTCTATTACAAGAGTAGGAAGCATTAACATCCAATCATTATTCCTTGGTAAGCTTTATATCCTGCTATAATACACACTCCAATTGCATACAACTTTACATTATTCCACAATGAAGCTGTTTATGTTTTGAGAGTACAGAGTATATTTTTATGTTACACAATGATCAGCCATAGCATTATGTATAGATCCTTGGTAATGCTATACATTTTTGTTTTATCCATTTATCACCTTTAAGATCCAGAAACAAGCTTCATTCATGGCAAAATTTGGAAATCTTTATACAAGTATCACTTGTTATAATAAATGATGATCTTTACTCCTTTCACAAATTACCTATTTTGTGCATTTTTATTTTCTGAGGAATACTGTAAGATAATGAAAGGGGTGTGGAATGAAAATTTCACGAACATGACACACACAAAATGTAATAACCTTACCACTATGTAAATGCAAAAAGAATTGTTATTTGTATTAAGACTATCATTACAGGTAGCAAACAATTAAAAATGATAACTACTTGTATTGAGCTCAGCAATTTCACAATTTAAAAATGTTCTAAAATATATCATAAATGTTTTTGTTTTCTGTATGAATGTCCACCATTAAATATAAAGCTATGTAATCAGTCAAAATAATATAATATCTTATAGCTGACATCATTGTGAAATAGTAAAATTAATTTATAAATTAGTGTATTTTCAAAATAAATAGCATACCTGTTTAAACTGAACTTTGAACATGCACATTTGTTTTCGTAAGTCAAGTTTTTCTGACTGGAATAATTTATTTAGAAACTACTTTGGTAAATCATTAAAAGGTTCATAGTTTTATGTTAAACAGATATCAAGCCAAGAACACTAAATTAATTTTCCCCTCCAGTGCTGCAGCAAATCACTATTAACATTATTGCTTGATACTATGAGAGAAAACAGATGGTTTTCTATACAATTGTATTTTGAAAATAAGCAGGAAATTCATATTACAGTTTTGAAAAGCCTGACTACAAGGCAATGTTCATGCTTTGCCAAACTTTCCAGTAATTTCTAAGGGATAGTTCTAAATACTCTGGAAAGCAATTTTAATTTTATCAAATAGTTCAAGTTTTAGAATTTGCTTTGGTATTCCCCTTACTGTAAATTTAACTGATGGCCAAATTTTCACAAAAGCCGTCATATAGTGCTACTGCAACCTACAAAGCATCTCAGCGGATCTAGCTCCTCCTCTTTCTGAATAAATTTGCCCATTTGCAGGCATAAAAGTTTACGCCATCATATTTGCTGAAGAAAACTGGTGCATGCAAAGAGCATCTGATCTGGAACTATTTTATTCCCAGCCTGCCTGTGCCCCTTATTGACACTCAACTTCCGTGCGCTGTGGCTGTGCCATGCGTAAAATGTCGGTAATTAACTGCTCTAAAGTTAGTTATCTGCTCCACATCACCATGTTTCTGTGGACAGCAAATAAGACCATGCTTGCAAAAGTCAGTAGAGTAGTGTTGTTCAATAGAGATGAAACAAACTCCACCCTTGAGAACGCAACCCAACTAGTCATCTGAAATCTGCCTCCTCTCCTGAGCCCGGTAGAAGGGGCCCAGCAGCAAAATACTGTGGCCCTGGCTGATGCTCATGATGCTTCCCATTAAAAAAAAAAGTATCCAAAACCCGCTCCTACTCCACACTTCCACCCGCGTTTACCCGACACCCCTAGCTCCGCCCGCAATGAAAAATTTGCAAGTTATCCTGAGCCTGAGCTTTAATGCGAGGCCCTAATATGGGGCGCCATCCTGTACAGTTCTCAAAGTGGGACCCAGGGCCTCAGCGTCAACGTCGCCTAGGAACTCGTGAGAAAAGCAGAGTTCAGAAACTCGGCGGCGGGGTCCTGTAATTTGTGCTTGAACAGGACGTGCAGGCGATTCTGATGCAAACCCAAATCTGAAAATCACCGCTGGTATCATGGTCAAGCCCCATCCTCCCAGGGCCCAGTCACCCACATTCCCAGCGACCATCTCAAACGCCCCAGCTGACCCTCCGCCTCCCCCCCCACCCCGGGCCCCTTCCTGCACTTCAAGCAACTGCACGGAAACAATCCGCGAGGGTAGAAGAAACAGCTACGAGCCGGCACCCGGGGAGAGGCCACGTGGTCACCGCACGAACACCAAGCGCGCCGCTCCCACTGGCATGGGCTCAACTGTCCCGATTACCTGCACCAGCGTCATCTGCGAGCCAAGGGCCAGGAGTATCTTCTCCGTCTTGGTGGGATACGGGTTGTCGCGGTGCTTGTAAAGCCACTGCTTGAGGGGCCGCGCCATGTCCTGCAGGGCCTGCCGCTTGTGTCTCACCTTCCCGCCGTTCTGCCGGGCCCTGCGACGCCGGGAGAGGAGGCGGCCCCGTGAGCGGTACCTTCGGGGGCTGCCTCGGGACCCCACGCTCCGGGCCGACCCCCGCCCCGCGAGCCCCGAGGCTGGGACGAGGGAGGAAGGGAGGGACGCCGCGCGGTCCGGGGAAAGGTTGTTTCCTGGCTTTGCGTCTCTGGAAAGGCCTGCGTGTCGCAGGGATCATTTGGCAGCTCAGGACGCTGGTTTATCTCGAAAAGGGGACCCTTTGAACCCAGTATCCCGAGGGTAGAGGCCAGGGGACGACCGTGACATGTGTTGAAGGAAACTGCGCCTCTAGTCGCGGACCTGGGCACGGGGCACACCGTCGCCCTCCTCCTTGCTCTCAGGAACAATTGCCTGCCTCCGGCGCTTCCCGTCGCCTGTGGCCACGGGAAAGGTCGCCCACGGGGCAGGGATAAAGCTAAGGCCAGAGGCGCCCGGGTCCCCCCCGGGGTCTGCACTCCTCTATACTTTAGGAAAGAGGACATCCGGTAGAGCTGCAGGACGGCTCCTCCCGTCAGGTGAGTGAAGGATCCGGAAAGGCCAAGCCAAAGCCGGAGACGAAACAGCAGAGACAGGGCTGGCTGGGCTCGCAAGCGACCCGGGGAGGGGTCGGCGCGGCCCAGGGGGCTGGCGCGTCTGCGCCGGGGCCTTGGGCCTCCGCCGCCCTGTGCACTCAGAGCTGCGGCTCGAGCCGGCTGCAGGAGCGGTGGAACCAATGTCACCTGCGTCTTCCCTGCCAACCGCGCACGCTGCGAAACGCGCAGCGGACGCTCTCGCTCAGGTGGAGCGGTGGAGACCCAGCAGAGGCCTCCCCGCCCCGCCCCGGCGCCCTCGCCCTGCCCACCTCTCCGCCTGAGACCCCCTCCGCGCGCCCCGAACAACCCGCGGGGACCTTCCCGGGCCCGGGCCAGGCCAGGCGGGCCGCGAGGCGGTGCGGAGGCTCCCGGGACTGAGGCTGGCCTGATCTGAATCTGCCCGCGCGGCCCCTCCGGTGTCTGCACTCGGTGCAGTCCTGTCTGCCTCCCAGCCGTGTCGGCTCCGCGACCTGAGAGGGGCGGATCACCACCTGCCCCAAGGTCCAGGCAGCGGGGCGCGGGGCAGTTCCTGGCGCCCATTTTTTAACTGATCTCTTGGGACCTGTCCTGACGCTTCAGCCCTCGTGTCTCGAGACGCGCATCTCCTAAACGAGAAGGCGCGAGCCCAGAAGGTGCAGACCCGCGTTCCGTCTCCACCTCCCGCCGGCCTCAGCCCCTCCCGCCCCACCAGGCGGGTGCAGGTGGCCGGGCCCCCGGCGCTCACCCGGTCCTCCGGTGTCTTAGGCTGAGGTTGTCCTTGAGGGGCGGGCCATCGGGAGCGCCCACCTCCGGGCGGGCGTGAGGGCTGTCCAGGACTCCGTAGGGCCGGCCGCCCCGCTCGCGCTCTGCAGCGCCTCGGTCCTCGAAGAGCACGGCGCCGCCGAGCTGGTTGAAGACCACCGTGTTCATGGTGCGGTGGCGCGGGGACGCGACCGTCCGGGGCTCCGCAGCGGGGCGCGGGCTCTAGGAGACCAAGGGACATCGTGTTACACGCCGGGCGTGCTCAGACTCCGAGTCCCGAACTCGGCGGGTGCCGGGCTGCGGAGCCGAGGGGAGGGGCGGCGCCACGCGGGGTCC